AATTACTGCTCATAGTAGAAAAGCTTCTGCCATCTATCGGCAGATATTTCAACAAGTCCCATCACAGCAAAATTGACTGCAAATATGCGGCGAATCCATTGTAAACCAGCCAGAAAACACGCTAACGCATACGTGTGGTGAGTCCATTGAGAGATGGCAGGTGCCAGACCGCACATATGCGGTGAGTCCATTTAAGGGGTTGATATGACTTTGGAAAAAAGGCAACAAAATAAAGACATAGCATGAATGGGTTTCCGAAATGATGGAGGGCAACAATAATAAATAGTATGATATTTCCTTCCCAAAAAAATACACTAATTACAGTATTGGCATCAGCAGGCAGCCAAGATTTGAATTACAAAGTTGAAGGAGTGGAAGTGTCTATACTGGGGCTCTATTGGTGCAGTTCCATTGGAACTCATCATAATATTAGGATGAGGCTTTGTGTTAGAAGATGAGAGGGGGAGGGGGAAAGTGTTTGGAGACACAAGAGCTGTGTTGTTTAGGCTAGGCCCATGAATCCAGTGAGAAACTCTAGACCAATACTTATGGTATGTTACTATGAATCCATGACAAAACATACAGTGTCAGTAGTAAGGCCAGTGTTCCTTTGGTCTTCCCTCTTAGGCTGCTTCAGTTCATCTCGTGGAACAATGTCTATAAGGAAGTCAAATTGATCAAATTTTGTGATAGCCATGGCAATGTCATTCCGCTGCAGGGTACGTCTCTTGTTGTCTTCTGTGTGGACCCAGGCTCTCAAGGTCAGTTCATGGATGAAGATTTCTGCAGCCTTGGCAAACAGCACTGGTGCTTCAGCACTGATCATTTTCACATCCTCATCAAGTTTCATGATCTTCTTTATTCGAGCTAGGGGGAGAACTGAGGTCTTGAAGTCCTCCTGAAATTTTAAAGCAATGTTTATAATTAAAAAAGGTTATTACGTGAATATTCAACATACTGTATAGTCATGGATTTACTTTGAGACATTTACTTGTTCACTAAACTTCATGATTTTCTCACATGTCAAAAAAGATTAAATGGATAGGACAAAAAATAAATAAATCACCATCAAGAGCAAGGATGAATTGCAGTCAATATTCAAATCAAACTTTACTAACTTCATCGAAATAGGGTTGTGGAACAACAGCATAATCACTCTAATTCAGTACTTGAACTCTTTCAATAATAATTAGGGATGCACCAATAGCAATATCAAATGGATCAGTATAGACTGACACCAATATTGACAATCCATCCCAATTCTCCACTGCTGCATGACACAATTCCTCCAGCAAGTCAGCCTTTAGAGAGTGATTATTGCTCTGTTGCCATTTGTTCCTCTGAGAGAGCATAGGATTCTCATGTTCATATTTTTGAAAATGAATAAGTCTTTCCTGCCTATCTCCATTTCATAAATAAACTCTTGGGCACCAGGGATTAGTGCATTTCACTTCTGACAGCCACTGGATGATATTGATATTGCTATCAGTATTGGCCAATAGTAAAACAATGCAATCAGTATTGAGTATACCTCTATTTAAGCATCCTTAATGATAATGCAGACTCCTTCATGTTACAATATCATCACAATTGCATGAAAATCATGAAATAGTGCATATAAGTAAATCACCTAATAAAATTTATATGGATTTTGATTACATTTATACAATGTTAATTTTGCCATCAAAATTTTGTCTTGGGTTCTTGTTCTCATTGTCGCACCACGTGTTTCCATTTTATAAACAACATTTTCCTGTCAATCACACTTCTCCTCTTTCCCAAGATGACAACCTTTGTACAATCAACAATGAGTATCATCAGGATGAAAAATGAACTTCTTTATAGAATTATGTGAACTTACAGTTCCCAAACTACGGATCTCATCGGCAGCTTTCCCCCAAAAAGAATTCAGCTCCTGCTGTGCATCTGTGAAGTTCGCACTCTCACCATCATGTGACATGATTGGGGCATGCAAGTGTTCTATTATGTCAAAACTTCAGCTTATTTCTATGCCTCAACTGACATGAACCTGCAGCAAGGAAAATGAATACAAGGGAATACATCAGATCAAAGAGGGTTAGCAACTGTCTATAATCTTAGAAAGAGATGGAAAACTTGGGAAAAGTTCCTGTCTTAAAGACAAGAAATTCTCATAAATATTTTGATATATTCTTGTAAGACCGTTACTTCAAGGTACAGAGCGTACATAACATGAAGACTGAACAAGGTCATGCTGATAGGCAGCTTCCTCCATGCGGAAGTCAAATTTTGCCACAAAAAGTCAGGACAGAGAATTAAGCCATCAACTTGCTAAGTCATGACACAGTAGGCCCTATGATAAATAAATAATCGAAAGACTGAGGTGGTCTAACAGAGCTACAGAGATGCAGTGCGCTCATGGTGACCATGGATCCATGAATGGCGCCATGACAGACCCCTTTTGAGTAGAGACCTCCATGGGAAGCGGGTCGGGTCGGCCCGATCTGATCCTCGGGCAGTTAAGGGCAAAATTCCTGAGATCCTTCTTGGGGGTCGGGTAGGTTGGATCGAATTTTTTTTGCAGCATAATTTTTGTAATCTTCTCCTTAGGTTGGGACTATGAACAGTCTGCGCCGACACTGGGATCCCATTTACGCTTTTAATAAGAATGAATGAGACGCCCACCGGCTATGGCCGGTTGGCAGTTCCCCATTCAAAGCATAGCGATCTGAAAAAGTGAGAGCGACGAGTAACACTTTCANTCTGAACGACTTCCCTAATTCACGAGTAGTCACCAAAGGCTGAAAATACGGTTAATTATGAATAGCTAGCATTTCATTGATGTTGATTTTTCGTCGAATTCAATCAAGTCTCAACGTTTCAACCTATTCTCAATGTTGATACAACGTTGTTGTGCCGAATGGGGACCATTAAATCCTCAGGATCGCAAGAGCTGCGCTCGGGTGAAGGGGCTCGTTCCTGGTACGTCAGGGGTGTGCAACCTTTATCGGCAGTGGGCCGCATGGAAATGTGTGACTCTTGACGCAGGCCACAGAATGCAAAGGATAAGGCTCCCCTCTTTTGTCCACAGGGCATATTAGGGCATAAGGTCGCGCTGATTGGCCGATGATCCTTACCTCCTCCCCACCCATAAGAAATTCCAACGTTCAAAAATAGCCTCTGGCATTGAGAACCTTCTTGGGACATATGTAGCACCGCCCGCACGAAGAAAATTTAGAAGGAAGTGAAAGGACTCAGTCATGTTACTAAGGGATGACCAAAGTTGTGATGGGCCTTCGGCCGCAAAAAAATTATCTGTTATCCCGTTGTGTATTACCGGGCCGCAAGAAGCAGGTCCACGGGCCACATGCGGCCCGCGGCCCTCTGGTTGGCGTCTTCCCTCCTTTCCTGTTCCTTGTGTAAATGGATAGGATCTGTAGGCGTAGCTCGGGCCTCGAGGGTGTCAGCATCGACGGTATCGAAATAGAGATACTCCTCTTTGCCGTTGATGCAATCTTTTTGACCTTTTTGACGGGAGCTCCAGAGTGTGTTCGACCGGTTCGACTTGGAATGTATTGCGACCAGAATGCTATTGAGTCTCCAAAGCGCAGGACTTCGACTGGTCCTGTACAGTGGGCCTGGCATGTTAAAGGAGCCCCATTGAAACAGGTGGAGAAATTCAAGTACTTCGCTGTCTGGCTCTCGAGTGACGAGATATGGAAATAGAGTCCTGTACGGGCTGCGGGTCGCCCCTATTGGTCCGATCCGCGGGCCGTTTGGGGTCGAAATGCCAAAGATCTCTCTTCGGGTCGGGACCAGTCGGGCCGAATTTTCTTCTTGCTTCTTTTTTTTTTTATCTTGCCCCTGTGCTGAGACCACGAATATTCTGCGTCTGGACTGGAATGCGTTAATGCATTTCGTCTATATGAAGGAGAGTAATTTAATATTACGAAATTAAATAAAGATCTGAGACGGAAAGGGGGCAGGTACCTCGAGCCGACGCCATTTAGACGGGAGACTGTCTGGCCCCTGTTCAAATAGGAAATTTTCTCTATCGAGATAATATCCACGCACAACCCCTTGTGATTGCATGACGGGGGTCAGTTATTGGCTTCCAACCAGCAAAGCGAGACTTCCTCTGAAGTCGAAGATGTGAAGGTTATGGAAAAGCTAAAATCAGGCTTTCATTGCGTGTCCAGCTAGCCGATCACGTGATTGAAGAAAATCGTACATCACTTAAGCCAGCCAGTCGGCAATATCTTGCTTTTTTATTTGTTTCATTTGTTCCGAAAAATCGGCCCGTGCAGGACTCTATACGCAAACGAGATAGCCACATCTCCAGAGCTGCCGCAGTCTTGCGGGAACCCTAGCGGACTGTGGGTAGCCAGTTTTGACGTTTCGGAATACGAAACTATCGGGTTTTTAAGAGTAACACCCCCACCCACCGGCGCTACACATGCAGTCGGGCCTTCCGGTTAAAGTTACATTTTTAGCTGTCCTAATATACAAAGAGAGTATCATATTATTCCAGAACTCTTCTTCGTAAAAACTTCTTTTAAAGTTCCAACAAGAATTACAGGATCAGTCATGAAAAGGTTATGGGAAAGCCGATTCTTCATCGAAGAAAGTATGGGAAACCAGATCCCCACTTGTTCAAATGCTAATATCCTTTTCAGAGCATTTAATCCATTTGTGAGGCGGTACGAAGTCCCTAGCAAATCACAGTTGACGCGTAGAGTCATCATTCGATCGTCGTTTCTAAGCAGTGTTTAGACCTGAACTGACCTGAGCATGGTAGAGGCAGCTGGTTCCTGCATGGGGAAAATCCCGCCTCCTCTCATGTGAACCGGGATATCCAACAAGGGGACGTCTATGGTTGTAGTGGTTGGTCCCTCGAATTCCATTTCTCGAGTATGGTAATTATACCAACGAGCTGCAGGGAAATGAGCACTGCGAGACTCCAAAGGTGTTTCGGTGATCACGGGGGATATGAGGAGGTTTGATCCCCAGAGGAACTGGTCGTCGACTCCCCTCGCCACGAGGTCAGTGGGGAACTCGGCCAACAAGGGCCTCACCACGGTGGAACCATCTCTGTGGGCCTCGTAGAGCAGGGTATAGAGATATGGTAGGAACCAATATCGGATGCTTAGAGCCCGACGAGACGCCTCAGCAACGTTGTCCCAGAGAGCTGGATCTTGTTCCCCGCTGAAATCTCCATTGTGGTTGCGGGAGAACGGATAGAAGGCGCCCATCTGCATCCATCTCAGACACATATTCTCGGATGGAAGATTAAAGTAGCCGCAAATGTCAGCTCCGCAATACGGTATCCCGAACATGTTGAACTCGAACATGTCTGCATAATACGATCCACACAATGAGTAAGTGAGTTATAGCACTAGCTCGTTCGGGGGTAAATAGGATATTAACGCTCTGCAGAAAGTAGTAAAATATGTCAATTGACAGCTCGAGTAACTCCAGACCAAGGGTACTTCACCAGGACCTAAAGACGCTTTTGGCCTGTATCGTCCACGTGATGGTTTAATATTATTGACTAAGGAAGTGATACGTACTGATGATGGAACGATGGATGTCTACCCACGTTGCTGAATTATCCCCAAACCAATGACCCGCCCATCGACCACTGCCCGGGTAGGTTGACCTGGAGAAGACCATGCTTCTAGTACCCGTCGCCTCCCTGGCCGCTCTGTATCGCAAAGGGTCAAGAAGGTCAATATATGCCATTCATTCCTTCCTGGTAATAGGCTGTTGTTAAGCACCTGAGTGTAGGCTCGCTCTGGCTCCAGCCGTACATGTTATGGACGTTGTAATGGAGCTCGACCTTCCCGTTGATCTCATGGGCCCCAGAGAAGCAGACTGTCTTGTCCGCCAGCGTCCCACTGCCTGCTCCAAAGTGAACGACTCGAGTCAGGTAGGGAGGATAGTCCCATTTCGTCTCTGGGCATTTCAGGCTCCAGGGTGGTTTATCTGGGGGCCAGTTCCACGGTTGCTCCAGGTTCGTCCCGAAATTCGCCGGTTCGTTCATGTCGATCCATATCCCGTCGAATGCAAGTTGATTGTCGTGGAAATCCTTGATTTCGGCGACCCACCAGTCTGCTGTGGCAGGTTTGAAGAAGTCTGGGAAGACGGTTTTCGCCGCAGGCCACACGTATCCCAACATGTAATTCCGGGCAGTCGGTTCCTGGTCATCTGGGACCAAGGAATCGTTGGCCCATTTCATATACACGTCCGCATCGAATCCATGTAGCGCCGGTGGGTAGTTTTCCGTGAAGTCTGCCACTATAGCTGGATCCTGAAATTTCAAATCATCTCTTGGCCATATGGGAGGCGAAGACATTTCTGTTCCTGTGTTTGAAGAATATCGCCTATCAAGCCAACATCAACTATGTGCATTGCAGCTTTGCTGAGAATGGATCTATTGAATAGTTTCTTCTTTTTTTTCACAAGTTGTTAAAAATGTGAGGCATACTAGTTCCTCTTCTCTAGTCGCATTCTGGTTAATAATCTTCATTGAAATTTGTTGTGGTACTTTTTTTCATCATCAAAGGACTATGAAATGAAATTTTCTTTTATAATAAAACGATTACCTAAACAAATGACGGGCTGGGAGAAGCTGGAAAAGACTATCGCAATGAACAGGACATCGCCGATAAAAACATATGCCGATCGATATCGTGATATCGTGATTACGGGAAAAGCAGCGTTATTGACGGACCAGAATGATGACGGTCCTGATGCCTTGAGCTTTTATTTCGGCCGCGTAATCGCCGAATCCAGCCCAGTTAACCTGATCGATAGTGAAGTCCATCATCCCCCTCATGTAATCGATGTCTCCGTGCACCACATCCTGCGTCGAGGAATGAAATACACGCCATCGTCAAGTTCTCTTGTCATCCGAGGAGAGGGTGATGGAGATGGATGAACGAATGGACTCACGAGAGGGATGTTGGCATTGACTGTTCTTTGGACGGCGTTCTTGAACGACTGCAGATTCGGATGGCCATACCGAGAGATTTGGAAGCCCAAAGCCCAATAGGACGGCATCATGGGCCTCCCGACTAACTGCAACGTCATCCACAGGATTCCTTTTTCGTGAAAGCTCAACGAAACGCATGCTCTCGCCCTAAATCGAAGCAAGACTCACTTCAGTGTAATCCTCAGTGATGGAGTTGTAGTCCGGTCCCATGAAGATGTGGAAGTCAAAAATGCCACCGATGGAACGAAGGGTCAAAGACGGGTCCCCTCCACTCGTCCGGCGAAATTCATACTCTAAAAAATAGTAACGGCACTCGTTTTTTCCTAATCCTTCTCTTCGAAAAGGAATGCGTCCAGTTAGAGTAATGTCCTGTTTATCATTTTTGGTGGGGATCGCTCGGTTCTCATTCTCATGCACTCGAAGAAAAAGCTTCGATAGCGGACAAATATTGACAATGTACTTTTCATACCACTTATTGAGAAACTCCTGGCAAAACTGTCTTTTTTTTTGGAACTGTTCTCCTGAACATTCCCTATTCACTACCCTCCACCCTCTCCATATCTTGGTCTCTCATTATCTTCCATCCTCCCGCCATTATTCTGATGCCGCCAAATTGAACTTTCATAGTTTCATCCAATTCGCGATCAAAACAAAGCATCGTGAAAAAAAAAAAACACTTTACAATTTGATTTATTTTAAATCAAAGATGTAGAGCTCCACAAGTGAAAGGAGACCCACCTGCTCGACCAGTTCCTTCTAGCATTTATTTTCAGCAAGCAAAATACAAGCACACAACTATGGGAGAAGAGTGTTTTACTCACCCAGGGGATTGCTGTTGACGAAAAGGGCTCCATGAGTATTCCCCTGTGCATCTTCCATGCAGTGATAAAGCGGAAGGCTTCCATAGAGATTTTTAGTTCCCTGCAGAAAAACAGAAACAATGCAAGTCCCAAGCAGTTACTGCTTCCATTACAAACTCATTTGCATTCAAGATTTGTATAAGTATGCCGGTTAAATATAACTTTGTCGGATGAAATCACGAAGACTGAGAAATAGTTTTTCTTCTTCTTGGTAGTGGCAAGAAACTCACCCCAAAAGGAGGTTCATCCTTGGCAGACACGACGAAAGTGAGAGCAGCCGAGAAATCATGACGGAAGGTCTCGTGCGTGTTCTCTCCGAATCCATACACGTCTTCGGACGGGAGGAGGGTGGAGATCTGCAGGAACTGGTCCTCGAAGATCACACGACCCACCGAGGTGTCCCATCTGAATAATCAGCATCAATGTTATGGAGCTAATCTATTGCCATGGTGATTTGTTTATGTGACTTACATTACTGCGCCGTCAGGCTCTCTTTCGATCCGGAATCCGAAGGGAGATCCGATACTTTCGCTGTCGAGAATCAAATTGTACTGGGGCTGATCCACAGGACGAGTAACGTAGTTCCAGTCTGCCGGCACTTCGAATCTCTCTGAGTCTCCGTCGTAAATCTGGAGAGGCATAGGAAAAGCATGGATTTTCATGCGTATTGTTGGGGGGGGTCACTCCTGCGGCGTCCAAATTCTTGGGAAGATTACCTTGAATCGGAGGTGAGTGTTGGAATATTGAAAGACCTCGAAGTAAGCATTTTGAATCTCTTCTGAGAACATGTTTGTTTGGATGGATCTCCGAAGCGGATATCGATACCCGAGGTCGGTGTTCTCTCGAGCCCCATTGATGACGAAATCCGAGCCATCTTGCAGGTCACAAGAACTTCCATCCCATGTACAAACGCCTAAACTCGAGCATTCGTATTCTGTCCGAAGAGATGATGATGCACTCAAAATTGTGATTTTGACATGAGACGACTACTCTAAGAATACAGTGAAAAGCCCTTATAAGAAAAATATAAATATCTATACTCCGATGCGGTTCTTCTTAAAGAAATTAATCCATAAAATAAAATGGACTCTCTGGACGATCCCAAATCTATAGGAAAATCGTCAAAGTAGTGCAATGTTCCACGTGAGCTACCATGATATAAAGGGAACATCAAGACGGCGAAGATTACTCTCACCGAGATCAATTTTGCAGATGTACTGTCGCGGTTGGGAGCAGAGAATGTCGTTCCATTTGCCATGTGCTGGATTGCCCTCCCAGTGCATCATCTCCACGCACATCTCATCTCCCCCACTCGGCTCCCCAGCATTCCAGTTGGTGAAGTCCAGAGGAGATCCGTCCATCCACTCGAAGGCCGCCCCTCCGCTCTTCAGCGAGTTCAGCCCGATCCAGCTGTCCTCCCCGAACGTCCCTGTACAAACCCGTAACGTCGTAAGAGAAAAACCTCCCTGTGTCTATTTGCCTCCGTTGCGTGGCTCACTGATGATGTAGTCCAACTCCTGTTGGGAATGGATGGTGGCTAGATGACTGCCGTTCCAGCGGCAATCCTTCTCTGCATCAGCGAACATAATAGACGTGTAGTTGAACCAGTAGCAGCTGCTCCCGTCTCGAAGCCATCCCTCTGGGCATCCCGGTCCTGTAAGAGTTTTCAGCACCTTATTGATTCGGACTCAGGCGTGGAAGAAACATTAATGAATTTTATCTCCATGAAAGGCCATGAAACCTCAAGTCACGATCATGCATAGCCATTCATCACTACAACTTAATCGAAGGCTCTTTCTTGCCCAGCGCTGAGCTGGGATTTGAATGCATTTGCATGCATTGTTTTCCTACGATACCAACATTTTAATAACTAACTTTCCCGTTTTGTTACAGAACCCCAGAATAAGAACATAACTTGAGCAAAAATGATTCAGACCCTCCTGAACTTCGAATTTCTAACTCAGCGTCAAATGATCGAGCTGCTAGAAGAGAAAGCGAGGGGGAAGAGAACTATGGAAAAAAAACAGACCTATTCGATTTGGGGCTGGAGGGAGAGGACAGGGCAGGCTTTGACCCTGGACCCCAGCGATCCCGATGCAGAGCAGCACCAGACACCCCAGAGCGTTCATCGCGTCCGGTTTGTCTTGACGCGCTTCGTCGTAGGGCTGATGCCATTATATACTCTTGGCGGCTGAGAATTTTTTTTTATGTTTCTCCTTATCGTGAATTCGTGTCGCAATATCAATGGGTGGAAATGCTTATATTCCCTGGATCTCCCTTGAGATAAGTATCATGAGTGAATCTGTAAACGGATGTCACGGTAGAGCAAACTTGATTGCTCTGCAGGAATGATTTTTCCATGTCGATGGTGAAGGCGCGGAATACGTTATTTCCAAATTTGTCGGATTTTCCCGTTTCTGCTGCGAAAAAAAAAATGGACACATTGCAATACGCATATACAAATGCAAGTGTACGTTGTGATTCGTGGACACTTTCACATGAGAGAATGTATTTAATTATTTAGTTACTTTTAATTTAATACCAATTGAGTTCCGAATATATATTGAAGACTTTTTCAATTTCGGCGATGTTTTTTGTTGTTCTAAAGTCGTACATTTGGTTAGTGTGTTAGCATCTTCAGCATCGACACGCATACCGAAATATATGAATATCGATGGAAAAAAAGTAACTCGCTGCACAAGCGCAACAAGGGATGGATCCACTTCCTTTCCGAGCCGAAGCCGGACTTGGTGACGAAGGGGAACTTGGTGACGCGGGATTGGGGGACCTCGAAGGGCTTCGTTGGCTTGTTTGAGTTGTGGGGCGTGCGCACACGCACAACTTGCACGTTCCACGGTTCACGGTTTCGGGTTGGTGCGTCAAGAGGCGTTTTTGTCCACGAAATCCTCAGGCGAAGTTAACGGGTGTAATGGACTTCATGGCGTCCTTGAAGCGGTAAGGAACTGAGTTTATTGCATGGCAGCTGCCATTCCTGGAAGCGAAGATTGCCAGTTCGCAGCATCTTGCCGTCCAGGACGGATGGAGCTCGGCGGTCGGATGGATCCAAAATGGCGTCGAACGAGGGGTGATGAACGGTTTGTGAGCAGAACTTTGGATTCCGGCGATTCCTTATTCGTTCTCAAAGCGTCTTTCTCTGGATTGAATGGATCGAAGAGCCCGGGGGAAGAAGGATCAAAGTCACATTTTTTTTTATTCTTGAGACAGTGCTGCCACCTGCATGTTTGTAGTAAAAGCTTTCATTTCTGATATTCCTAAATTTGCAAAATGATCAATGATACTCTAATATATCGTTTTCCGTACCTTGAATCAATTCGGAGCCATATGGACTCGGTTTGCATCCTGAAAACGCATTCTCGAAAATAATTTTTTTTTTTCTGGGGCGTTTGATTGTGAAGGCCTCGGGGAAATTGCGTCGGAAGAGATCGGATTGAGGGAAGACGAATCGGCGAAGGATCTACACGAAGTCGAGATAAGCTCATTTTTCCCGTAAAAAAAAGCTTCAGATAAGAGGAAAGAAGCGTTCCCGCCGATTCCCGGAATTTCTTGTTTGCAAACGATTCCATGAAAACGGGAGACAAAAAAAAAATCCTTTAAAATCCTGCTTGCGCACGAGAGCAGTACGTAATATTTACCTCGACATTATCCCAACGGTTTCTCGATGGCCAAAAGGATTTTATCGACAGAAGTTGATTTTAATTTTTTTTTCCCCGTTTGTTTAAATTAAAAATTTTTCTTTTTAAGATGCTCACTTCTCCATGAAGAAATCTGCGATTGATTTCATCTCAAATTTTTCCCATTTTGTCATCGGTTGCCTATTTAGCTGGAAGTTCTCCGAACGGACTGAACTTGTTCCGTGAAGCGGCAAAACATTTTGACGGCGAAAAAAGGATTCTTCATAGTTCCATGTTCAGTGGCGGGAAATCGGCGAGGGGGGGGAAGGGGGGCTTGAGGCCAGAATTGACCTTTTCGAAGAAATCGTGGTCTGGCATTCTTGGGTCTGTGGATGGACATCGAACTTTCCTCGAAGGGGAGTAGCTAAAATTGGAATTCCCAAGGGGGGGTGGGGGGGTTCTAACCCCCTAACCACCCCTTCCCTGCGTCTCTGAGGTGAGTTAGCGGATGTCCATTATAACATAACATAACATCCACGAGGACGCAGGTGGCCACCTCGAGAGGGAAATACTCATTGGCCCTGGACCGTGTAGCGGTGTTGGAGATGGGTGCAGATTCAAAGGCCAAAATGTTGAAACCTCATTTAGGTAACGTGTCCTTTAAGTTTTCCATCTCGAGGAAGCCCAGCAGATAATAGAAGCTAAAGGCGAAGGCTCTAAATGGGATGACTATAAGTGAGGTCCGTCAGAGCATTGGGTTCTGAACCGCACCCGATCAAGAGAGACTTCACTCCATCGTTGGGCATATGACCTTTAGTTCCGAACTCTCAGTTCCTCAGTGAAATGTGACTCATTGTAGCTGGCTTTTGGGGAGTGGTGAATGCAGGTAATATTGTTCGAAAGGTTGAATGAGCATAGTTTATCAATATCAGTTCCAGATCATCGATCTAAGCACAGGGTACCTTTAACTCTGCAGTCCACTGTCGGGTGCGCCCTGATATTCCATTTTCGCTGGTGGGTCCTACGTTGGGCCTCAACATAAAGCATATTAGTCCAGTCGTGTCGGGTGAGGCCTAACATAGGACCCATCATGGAAAAAATCAAACGTTTGGCTCCAACTGTAGACTGGAAAAGTTGAGGAAAGGTCTTTTTCTTTCCTGCTTTATTAGGAATTACAGACTGCAGGAAAGGGTTAAAGGTCTCATACAATGAAACAACTTCATGTCTTGACGGAGGAGCAGTATGAAATAAAGATAAACAACCATAAAAAAAGACAGGCAACCTTTATTACAATGCATTTATCCAGATGCCAAATTTAGAAATGGGCAAATAAGGTGACTAGCATTATGAATAATTTTGGATGGTCCATGGCAGCTAACCCAGAACAGAATCTTGGGATACAAACTGAAGCTCAAGCAGTCCGCTAGAAAATCACTTCTACCACATGTGTGTCTCCCGTATCTCCCCAATCACCTGAGATGCCTCATTTAGAGCCTGCAACATGAAAAATATAAAAAGGTAACATGATAATGAAGTTAAATCGCTCTAAAATAAAAGCTTGAATATCTTGTACCTTGAGCATTTCTGCAGCTTCTTTGCGTCGCTGTGCAATGAGTTCAGACTCCTGCAGGAGCTCTTCAATGTGTTCTGCTTTATAAAGATGAGAGACTAACTCCGATTGGAGATTGTCCTTCACGTAGTTGACGAGGAAGTGCATGATGGCTTTTGGAACAGCATCTTGAATGCTTTTCCTCACAATGTAGAAGTATGCTTTGATCAGCCTCTCTGTAACCAGAACATCTCAATCAGGGAAACCTAAAATACTGAAGTGAAAGAAGTGCAGACTAATTTTTTTGTGGAATTCCTAATTCACCAGGCTATCATCAAAGAGGCTAACATGGTTGGAATTACATTGGTCTACCAGTAGCATAAAATAACAGCAACATTTCTCTGGAAATAGCAAACAGCTTGGGAAATTTTATACAGTAATAGACAAAATTTATCAAGAGATGGCAGCCAGAAAAAGTGGTTCAAAGGTGTCACAAAAGGGATACAATTTTAGTCTGCATGAGCATCAAGGTCATATTCACTTTGTCTGCATCCCTTTTGGGCTGCATAAAGGGATAGGAATTTCAGATGATGGTACACAAAAGTTCTTTCCTGGATGAAAAAAATGCTAAATGGTCCATGAATCCAACAAATATTTGTCTTAGTATCACAATGTCTCATAGTACCACATGGACATTGAGATAAGGAACATCAAAGTCTGCACTGAGTGAAACAGGTGATTTGGCAAGGACAGAGCCTGGAAACAAATTTTATATGAGCCATTGTACAAAGTTACTGGCAATGCACTCTGATATTGGGCCTTAAAACATTTCAGATAATTAGAAATCACTGTAGAATTTCTGGTTAATTATGAGATCATTCAGTAGCACTCTGCTGAAAATTGGGCATATAAAGTGGCACTGAGCTGCTTGAATGAACATTCATGTGTTACCATTTTGAAACGAGTAAATTGCTTTCAACGATTTACTTTGAATAACCAACTCTTTCTTGATGCAAGAAGAGAGCATTACAGACTTCAGACTGAGTGAATAATGAAAAAAGCTTCTGGCAAGGTAGTGTTACGGAACTAGAATGCTACCAGCAACTGCCTAGGAATTTCTGAATAAAAAAAAAACATAATACACCAAGACTGAGGAAGAAACCAACCAATAACGCGACAGTCCCTGTTTTCCTTCTCGGAAAGCTTTCGCATTGAAGAGGGCATGTCAGGAAGGAGGTTTACTGTTGCTTCCCTCTTGCTGCTGGTGTCTTTTCGGACCTCAGCTTCTCTCTGCACCTTGCTGGATGCTTCATTTCCCTTCGAACCTGGGATGAGCCCTGACAGCCATCCTCCTCCAGCCTCACGGTTTCCTGGATTCCCCACTTGTCCATCTGACAGTACACGTTCGCTCTGTGAACTCTCAATGCTTTCTTCACTACTGGCATGGCTCATTTTGTGATTCTAAAAAAGAGACAGGGAAAACATTCCATGTAATGCTAAGCATACCCAAGCTTTCTACCACAACAATAGTTGTGGTAGAAAGCTTGGACTCAGAACAAGGAGGCATTGCTCAATTATACCTAATTACCCTAAAGAAATTGCTATGTTCTTGCCATATTCATTAAGGGATACCCCTTTCCTTTCTCATCTGATCATATCATGTCATCTGACTTCAGTATAAATGAAAAAAAAATATATTCATTACTGTTGAGAAAGTTTTTCTTGAGATTGAATGCTATTTTCTCTACATCCAGCATTTGATAAACTGGGAGCTGATTTAAATCAAGAAACAAAGCACATGGTATAATTAGTTCATCAGAGTTCACTGCAAGTGAGTGGTTGAAATTGTACATTTAGAGTTTCTGCTAGGCTATAGGCATCTATAGATCAATATATTGCCAAACACAAGGAAATTTTGAATTGACACCTAGGTAAACTCCCAACTGGGAATATTCACTAAGGAAAAAAAAAAGTGTTAATTGTGGAATGATTTTATGCCTGGAAACTCACCCTTGGGTGGTCCTTGTCAGCTGTGAGACTGGCAGCAGCGAGCCTCTTTTGGAATTCCTCTTCAGCTGATTTTCCAAGGGAACTCACAAGAGCAGCATCCTCATGGAAGTCAGGATGCTTGGTATTGATGTATGCCAACTCAATGCTAACAAGGTTCTCAACCATCTCATTGGTTGGTGGGAGTCTGCGACGAAGCAGGTGAGTCATGACATCGACAATACGTTCATGGAGTTTGGGGAAGCGAAGGAGGTCTGTCTGGACTTCAGTGCCACAGTGTTGGACCATGCGTTGCATCTCCTCGTGGACAAGTTCAACACAACGCAGAGATGGTTCTTCCAGTCGACGTATCTGACGCTTCACAAGCAACTCAAATGACACCTATAATAACAAAATCACAAGAAACAAATATCACATCAACAATACAAGACACAAATGGCATTCTTGGAAACCTATTGAATCTAAATGCTGAAGTTATTGGCAAGGCACAAAAAAAAAGGTTAAAAATATATTCAAACTCTGGCTTGTGCTCTACCTCAGTCAAATAAAAGATAGGCAATAAGAATGAGTCAACAAATCCCACCAGTGGGAAATGTTTCAATCCAGAGACAGGGTGAGCATTCATCATGGAAGAATTCAGCAGACAGTTGTCAGTTTAGTTTTCATGTCTATTGGAGAGTAAATGATATAGCCACATTTAACATTTAATCTTCCCTCTCCTGAAGCTTAACCACCAATTGTGCCTTTTGAGGAAAAACATCAAGGAGAAACTTAAAAATAACGAAAAGAGGTACAAGTCCCCAGGATATCGTGGTATTTTCATTCTGGAGATGGGATTGAGGTTATTCTTCTCTGTTGAAGAGCACCACTTCTAAATGGTGGTGATATTGAAAATGGTGAATGAAAACACTACAGATTTGAATATCATACTATGAAAGAATAACAATCCTCACATTGGCAATGAGTCATGAGAAATTATTCTTTTTCTTCCACCAGCAGACATCTAATTTAACACCTCTCATCTGGTCAGAGTATTTGTCACTGACTGATGAAGGGAAAGCTACATGTGGGAAACTTGCAGCACAGAGTAGCAGCCTAAATATACACCTGGCCAATGGAGAGGGAAACAAAGATTCCAGGTGTCAGTGTGTGGCACTCCACTGAACAGCTATGTCAAATGAACAGCAAGGGAGGAAGGAAAACACCAAGAAAGAAAAGGAAAGAGAAGACAGACATGGGCCAGCAGTCAGAATATGCAAGAAGAAGAGATAGAGGGAAAGCAGAATGTTGTAAGGAACAATCCTTTTTAGGAGTGATGGATTCATAGCAAAACAAAGACATGAGTAACATTTTAAAGACTCACTTCCGGGACAAAGAGGGGAGGCCGAGTGCCCATGGCATTGCGGATTGCAGTGAGTATATCCATACTTGTCAGACCAGTTAATGGATGAATGGAGCTCAGTGTCCTTCCAAATGTCTCATGGAATATATAGCAGATTCTTGCACCACCACAACTACCATGAAAATAATGGAGGTAGAAGGTTATACACAATGACATGAACTTCTTGAGAAGTTGCATGACAACTTCATAAAATGTTGTATACACATTTAGTTCAGTATGATTTGTAAAAAAATTTTTTAAATAAACCATCAACGAAGGTAAAAGAAACTATTTTCAATGGGTCACATACAAGTAGCTGAAGACTCACAGTTCATTTGTCTCAATGTGTCTAGAAGTCCCATCAATGGTATTGCAATAAGCAGCTGCAAATTTGGTGATGATCTGGAGAAGAGTAGTTGGCTTATCAGATACATCCTCTCCAAATGATGCCAGGAGTGTTTGGAATTGTGCTGACATGACGTTCACACGAGTCTGTTGAGGATAATATAATTCCTTGAGCAAGTACAACCATGTGATAAACAACTGTTCCTATTGTTTGCAGAAGATTCAATGACTAAAACAGGCTTTTCTAGCATTGCTTCCCCTTTGGTCAAAAATTCCCATACATAAGCCATACACTTTGCATACAATCTTTTATGGTCTTCACAGAGATGAGTAATCAAGCAGGACTTCAAATATCTAACCACAAGGTCACCTCATAGAATTTATGATACATATGACAACCAAAACTACATACAACAGTGGCAAAATGAAAGAAAATTTTCAGTCAAATGTATCTTTACTAGGTCTCCAGGGCCTACATAACTGTTTCTTCACATGTCTCAATCCATCAATGCTTTTATTTATTATTTAAACTTACAATCCAACTAAGCTCCCTTTTCCATGTTTCATACTTCACAAAGGGTCATGTTAATGCTCTTAGGTAGCAGCCATAAAGATGGGGACCACATAACTATTTTAACATGGAAAAAATATGGCCCCTTCAGAAGGTAAACCATCCCCTTAATCCTTATGAACAAATATAAACTATTTCTTGTGCTAATAGCAGGCAACTCAATAAAACAGTCTGTGCATGCATAAGCAAGGATGGCTGAGTTTTTCTTTTGATGGTTACCAACATTTAGTTATCAGCAATTCTTTGATGACTTGTGCAAGTGGATCCTATGTAGGAATCTACAGAAATGAGTGCACTTAGAGACTATATGGATGATAAGATAAGCCCTAGGTTGAAGGCAATTGGAGAGCATAGGCAGGAAGAAAATTTAAATAATATCTGGCTATTCTGAGGTTCCACAAAATCCCCCAACCTGCACCAATCCACTGGGTCTCCCGATGTGTAACAGCAGAGAAAATAATGAGCACAATCAAGGAGGGTGATAGAGGACATCATGCAAGTTTTACTTTCAATCTGTCCTGTTTCCTTTTGCATTCAGCTGAAAATTCTTGGTTTTTTAGTCTTCACACTTCCCATTTTAGCTGCATGGGGTTTAAATTTAAATGGAGAGGTTAGAAAGAAAATTAGAAAGAATACAACCCTTTCATATGTCATACAATTCTTTCTAACTGCTTGAAGGTTGGCAGTCATGAGAAACCTGACACTCTTCCTTGTCTCTATCTGTGAGTTTCACTCTCTTCCATTGCCTAGGAATGATAAAAGAAGAAAATGAAGAATGTGTGGACTTCACGACAAGCCTGTATATCAGCCCAATATTACATATCACAACCACTGATGTTACACTGTAGGTATCATACACTCATGAATAAATTGACTCCTGAAGGGTACAAGCCATTTTATGAGATCTAAATCCATTCCTTCTGGTAATTGATGTCCTGTGCTATATGATGCTCCAAATATTTACAAGGCTTTCCTTTGCAAGCAATATATTAATACCAAGAGATGTACAAGTGAAAACTATTTGGACACCCAGAATTAATGGCAATCTTAGGTTGAAGAGAAATCTAAGTGAGTTATATAATAAAATTGCCTGGAAACTTTTTTTCCCCACTAGAATCACATCAATTTCATAGTTGCTCATATGGGGAATGAAGGTTATTTAAAAAGTTTCTCCTCCGTTGAGTTGTATATAAATTCAGACATTCATTTAATTCATTTTAAAATGGTATGAATTTATATTTTGCTATCAAGCACATCATGCAGACTTTTACCTTAAGCTCAGGGAGACAGTCTTTGATGTGATACATGAGAAGACGGTTGAGAGTCTTGGTCAGGTAAGCAGTGCCATTACGGGCAGCAAGTGAGGGGTATTTCCTCTGGAGGAATGCTGCTTCATCTTTCAACTGCTGCTCAATACCTTTCTTGTTGTTGATATCTTGCTGAGATCGATTGACAACTCCAATGATTCCAAGTTTCACTGGGATCACTCGACCACAAAGGATGTCCAAGGCATCCGTTCCTATCAAAGATGATGAATAACAATTGTGGCAAAATGATAAGTGTTCTCCTCAGACACAAAAGGTAACTGACCAGCATCCATTATGTCCAGCTTGGTGATGACAGCAAGTGTTCGTCGTCCTTCTGGATCAACCTCCTTGGCCAATTTCAGACTTTCACTTGTAGCTATGTCTATGTTGGCTGGAGTTACCGCTAAGATCAGGGAATTTGGGTTCCTGATATAGTGTCGAACCAACTTTGCTATCTTCACTTCGATATCCTCAGGTTGGTCACCAACAGGGACCTGGCACATTCCAAAATTGTTAGCTATTAGTAAAGAATATAGATATATACCTCGGGGAAGACATCGCATGAATACTTCCTTCTGCATAAAATACAAGCTAGCTCACTAAGTAATAAGTTACACATTGAGTACTGAATATGTCAGTGCTTTAAAATAGCCTAATGCAGAGTGAAGATGGGCCAGAAAATTTTTGTTTTGAACTTTGAAGATCTCCATTTCTTGCTCAAGATTAAAGGACTTTAACCTCTCCAAAAAGCTGAGCTTTTTGAAATTTTCCCAATAAACACTAATTATAGCAACTTCCTAGCTTTTATTGTCTCATGAGTCACCTTGCATCAATGAGGCTGAAATACACATGTATATTCACTATTCAGTTGATGATTGCAGCAAATGATATTGGAGAGGAATCTGATCAAGGAAGATAGCAGTGAAACTACTTTCTTTTAAGCCAATTCTCTCTCTCACATTGGTTCTGCTTCAAATAACTCAACAGCAATAAAATAGGTTCTGTTTAAGTTTGACTTTGGGGATGAAGTCTCTAAATTTCAAGGCTTGAGGCGAATCTTAAACTTGAAAAAAAAAAAAAAAAAAAAAGGGCAACAACCCTTGGCACCATAAAGTTTTTTTTGCATCTTTTCAGTTTCTGTAAGCAAGAATGAAGCAGGAATACTCAATCGAATTTCAAAACAGAATTTTCCAATATTTTTTATTAGTTTCACCCATATTAGATTTGCTATTAGTGTAGCAATCATGAAGTATAAACAGCCAAGAAACAATGAAAGTAGATACCTTAGTAATACCAGGGAGATCAACAACAGTGAGGTTAATGACTCGAGGAGAAAAGATCTTGAGACTGATGGGCTCTTCACTGATCCCCTTGTTTGTTCCTGCCACCTTTTCTGTCTCTCGTTCTATCTCTTCCAGAATTTCCTGGTAGGATGTGAATATCTTCTTGGTGTGCAAGAATTTGGCCCATTCTTCCATGTGCATGGTACCTGAATCATAAGTAATCAGCTAATTTACCTGATTCATCCAATTTCCAGATTCTATTTATCTGGAATCAATTTTGTCCGCAACTTAAGCATAGCCAGCAGTGTCAAAGATATTGATGTACAAAGATAACATACCATCTTCAAGGGATCGATGCTCTGAACCGTCCTTCTGAACATGAGTGAGTTGAAGGACGAGAGGTCGCCGAGTCACAATCCCAACACCTCTTGGCAGAAAGGAACATCCAACTATGCTCTCCAGGACCGAGCTTTTCCCAGAGCTCTATTGAATGAAAAGACAGTAAGAGTAAGGATGGGAGTTTAGAGGCAAAGTGGAACTACACCAATGCATCCTCCAAATCTCCACTCAGAAAAATAACAGGGCAGACCCAGTCACCAGAGAGAGCAACAGAAAGCCATTGGTGATCAGGACTGAAAGAGCCATATCTACTTTTATATGAAAACTTTAACCCCTTCACTGGCATTGGCATCTCCTGACACCCAGAAGACACCAATGCCTTCTCCAATAATGCCTCCAGGAGGAGGTTGGAGATTTGAATACCAATGCAACATCCAATACAATGTAACAATCCGACCTTTCAATCTCATCTCTCAAAGAGTGTGTTTGGCATTTCTTGCTGGCTGAGGTCAATAATGCTCAAAAATTATAAACACTCATGATCTGGGTAAACCACTCATTTCATAACAGAAATGAGTAATGGCAGCAGTCACACATTTCTTTGGAACAGAAATAGTATTTCATTTCCCTTTTAGTATGGAAGCTTTCCAAGAGGGAGGGGTAACATTGCTCCTATACCATTTGAATGCTGTATAGAAAAAAATGCACAGATGAAGGATCTCACAATTAACTGAAATCAATTCAAACTACAGAAGAATGGTAAACAAAAAAAGGGGGCTGCTTATATTCAGAGCTGCCATTGACCCAAAGCCCATCCTCACTTTTCCTCCCATCACTAACAATACTATGAGCAGCTAGGAAGCACAAAGGTTGGGTGCTGAGTGAGCAAGGGCCACAAAGTAGCAAAGGTGTAAAAAGAGCCACAGGAGGAACAGTTTGTTCTAGATGCAACCAAAAAAAAGAGACAGGAAGCTTATGTCAGCCTCTGGGTCAGGTCAATTCTTCATCCCTAATGTTGAGTTTTTTTTAAAATCCCCTTGATATTTTTAACGGGTTGAAACTTTTCAAGATTGTTTTATGCTATTGCTTGTTGATGAAAGTCAGTGTCTTCTTTATTTTCCAATATTAAAAACCCTGTACCACTGTTTGTGGTTCGCTAGTTAGGCTACATGCGATACGTTAGATAGGCTTCCAGTCTATACATAATAGGCCTAAGTCTAAGCCAGAGGCCGACCGTTACGTTAGGCCCTGACCAACCCTGGTCCTAAGGAAAATGAGGTTTCACATTAGGAAGGTAACTAAAAAGCACGGAGTGTACTATGCAAATGGTTTACCAAACACCGCGCTCACCTGAGTTCCAATTACGACGATTTGAGGTAACTGGATCGCATCTGCACCCACTGTATTGAAGACATCCTGAAGCTTATTGATCACAGGAATGAGAGCCTCGAGTTCAGACTGGTTCTTCAACGGCAGACGCTCCTCCGTCTGCATTTTGGGTTCGTGCACTGGCATTGACTTCGAAAAATGAACGAAGGCGGTGCAGTCCCAACGGTTTTAAAACAACATGCCAAGAGTCAGGCAAGGAAAGGAATGAATCTCGGAACCCCGCGCATCAGCGAATGGCGGCAGCCACATCCACTTCAGTGATGTCGGATGTCAGCGTGCCAAGACTGAAAGGCATGTGACTCGTGTGATAAGATAAGCTACCATGCGCGAGAGGCTCCGCGCCCATGAGTTCTCTCTCACTCTGACTCCAGCTGACCCTTTCCCCAGATTACTTCATCCACGTAACCTCCAACCTTTCCAAACAAGTTGGAGCTCGCATTCGGAAAAAAAAACCCTGACATGTGAGACCCAAGTCTCGTGCCGGTCGGTAACGGAGACAAGATCGCTATCGACAGAGCCATTCACCTGCCTCGAGGGCGAATGCATTTGATGCGTCCTTGAACCTCAGTTTCGCGATCATCCATTCATACAACAGCAGTTCACAACATTACATGGTTTGGCAAAGAAAGAAGCCCAAATTCTCGAGGTGCAAAACGGAGCCTGGGGCGAGATGAGGCTCCAAATGCCAGGAAACAATGAACATACGACCGACGACATAAGTCATTCAAAAATGCACTGTCATGCCCTCCCTAAGAAACGATTCCTCACTCAGACCCTTCTATTTCCTCATGCGACGATGATGAGAATTAATCATAACCATTGGCATAATCATTTTCGACTCTGCAGGATGAAGATCCCCCCCCCCCCCTCACACAACGTAACCGATCCTACGCTTCATTAACTCCAACCACTTTGCTCCGATTAGTTGAGTGATATTCATTCCTCCTATCTTCTGCCCTCCGTTTCTCATTGGTCCGTTTCCGTTCTATGACCTTATCAGCCCACGGGCTGCGTGGGGTCAGTGGTCAGCTCGCCTCCATTCTCCTTCGAGAAGTCCGCCAGGCCTGTTCGTTCTTGGATCTGGGGCATTTCTGCATGTTGTTCCTCTTCCCATTCTTGGATCTGGGGCATTCCCGGGTGTTGTTCCTCTTCCCGACTCGTCTGATTCCGGTGCTAGAACAACGTCAGCGGCAGTGTTAAGATTTCCCGAGTATTTCTTCGAGGCAGCCTGTGGAGAAATGAAATCGTGTCTCTCGGTGAACCTTTTCTTCGATGTATGCCTTCTCGTTGTCCTGCAAGCACAAAGCGGACGCCTCGCCTTTCAAATATACTTCTTGGAGCATGCGGACGGATGAATTTTAGATGCATTCGTTTTTTTAGTTCTCTTAAGTTCTCTAGCTTTAGTTCTGATAACTGGAATTCACATGGAAACGAAGGTTTTCTCAAAGCCGACAAATGCAAGGAATCGTCTCCTGGTGGTTTCCATGTCAAATGCATGGAGACGAGCCCTTTTTATTGCATGCTTACTAGGAAAAGCGCGTGAGGAAGCGATAGACCCGAGTGAGAAGGATTTCTCCGGAAGGAAAAGGATTTCTCGAGAGGGAGAAGGATTTCTCCTTCAATGAATGATACCGAATTTCTGAGGCGATTCTTCTGACGTAGCAATTCCACTTACGGCCGGATTGGGAAAGCCTCCTTTCAGCTTGACTGGAGCAGCGAGTTCGCATTTCCCCTCGAGGTATTTCTTGCCAGACGAAAGGGAAAGGAGGAAAATGACGATTTATTTTCTATTTTCAGCGGCACGACTTCCTTAAGCGGTTCCTTGAGTTTTTTTTTTCCCCCCCATGTGATTCTCGCCCTTCATCGTCGCGCCTTTGACACGCCATGCATTTTCCGCGTTTGAAAAATTAAGGCAGGAACGAGAATCAGCCCGAGAAAATTCTCACACTGAAAAATTTTCAGTCTGAAGATACGATCTCCGAAAACAATTTTTCTTTCGAGTCTCCAACGTGACCTCGCCACTCGCCCGGTAAACCGATAAGGAAATGGCAGAGCCATCGGTTAATTGTCGAAATCGATCCATCGTTCGTCGTTGCGACTTCATGGACGTTTGTAACCCATGCCCTTCGCCTTTTTCACGAAGAAACATCTCAAACTGATAACTGTACTCCTCTTTAGGGAAGAAAACAAAGGGTGAAGTTCCAGAATAGCCTTCTGAATGGGAAAGTCCCTCGGGCTAGTATCGTAACTGAAAGATGGCAGTAGCGTAACTTAAGGAAGAAAATATCCAACCGCAACTATACTCGACCATCAGGAATAAGGGTAAAATATGATAATAGGGTCCTATCCCAATCTTGCAAAATCGTAACAAAAAAACATTCTGAACCCTCACGTTCGCTAAAACCAGCTCCTCCCCCCCCCTCTAGCTTTCCCGGCGGCTTTTTTCTGGTCAAACTTTAAACACGTCAAAAAAACACTCAATCGTATGAACCAGAGACATGGTAAATATACCTAGACTGGACATGGCAGTCGAAGATTTCACGCCGATTTGAAGGGCTGGCGGCCATTACTGATGGCGTCAAGGAGAGGATGAGGCATGGGATTCACTGAGGCGCACATGGTCAATGTGTTCAGGATTCGCGTACTATGAAAGACCACTGACTGGGTTGGGTATCAGGTCTTACAATGATGAATCTGGCTTTATAACGATTGACCCTTTTGCGGGGTCTAACCTCAGGTGTGGCGGAATTTTCATAGCCTGCTGAACAGCCTCATGTAGTAGACCCTGAGCCTAACTGCATGGGGAACTGATAATACGCCCTCTTATTATTGAGTGCAATGAAAATAAAGACGGAATAGGTGGCATTAATCAATTTTCAAAATACCATGCATCGTCTCTGGAGACCAGGTAGGCCTAGGTCTAGGCCTACGCGGTCTTGGAAAGCGTCAAAACTGTGTAGTGTGACGTCATGAATTGGAAAGTATGCGTTTATTGGTCGATTTGACGCCATGAGCGATGGCGGCTGACCCCTTCTAATCGGCGTGCGGCTGCCTGGCTTTCTCCATTGGCCTGTCCAGTCTAGGTATATTTACCATGTCTCTGGTATGAACATTGTTCCAATGTCGAAATGATTCATCTCGAAAAGCGAAACTTTATTGTGTAAACTTCAGAGATACGTATTCAGATACAGCACGTATAGAAGAACGCGCATTTTCCTGTAGAATTTTCAGAGATTACCACGCTTACGAATTTGCGATTCCAAAAATTTCCTCCACGTGTCCTGTATAACTGCAAACGGCGATGCTCAGATGATCAGTCGGCGGACAGGACGATTGGGAGGGCGTCGCGGGGGCTGGGAGGCTCCGCCGGCTGCCGGGAGGTCCTGTTGAGTCCTTTGACTGCCGCTCGGCCTTGCCTTGATGATGGGATCGTTATGCGATGCTCACATTTCATTTTAAAAAAAGTTCTTCGATTGATGTCCCGAAAATGCGTTCAGGAAAGTCATGGAAAAAGAGGAGCAAAATCCGAGCTGAAAAAAATTGTCACATGCAAAGATCTGTATTCCATTCCTGTATCCATGAAAATTGCGAACAATTATATCCACTGGTTTCTAAAGAAAAATAAATAAATAAATTCCATGAGTGTGCCATGCGAAAAATAATCAGGAAAAGGGCAAGAAAGAAATGCCTCAGTATGGGAGGGGATCATTTTAGCATACTTACGTGATCATTTAGCATTGGGAATCTTAAGAGTGTGGCACTCCATACCCGGTAAGAAAGACAGCCATTTTCACTCGTTTACCAGAGCGATCCTTACGAAAAATCCACACATGTGGACTACCCTAAGTCCACCGGAGGATTTGGATGGATCCACATGTGATCCACATAGAATCCACACATGTCCACATTAGTCTCCCTGTGGACTTGTCCACATCAGTCCACATTAAGTCCACACTATTCCACATGGCTAACTGTCAGTCCACATGCGGATCCCCCGGAGGATTTGGATAGTCCCCCGGTGGAATACAGGGGGATTTTTCGTAAGGGAGGGTTAGAGGAACGATTTTCACCTCTGGAATTCGTGTTAACGTTGATCTCTCTTCTTATACTCCGAAGGCGACCAGACCGGCAGCGATTCTGGCATTGGACATTGTTCAACAAATGTTCAACTCGGGCATTAAGTAAACGTCATTCCTGCTTGCTCTAGTGAAGATCGGTCAAGAAGATTATTTTATTCAATGAATACTGGCACTTTCGCGGAAAATGCCCAAGAACATGCAATAGAACGGAAGAGTTCCACGACTCGGCAGTACACTTGTACAACTATCTTCGAGAGCTGGGATTGCTGGACTCTCTTGAATTGGCAGCTCGCGGTGGTTCAGAAGCATGCTTGAATTTGGCAGATGTAAAAATGTATTATTCTATATCTCACTTCAGCGTTCATTGAGCCTCATGCAATCTTCAGCAGTGGAAAGCAAAACAGCATCTAATTTCAATTGCTACAAAACTGTTCAGTAATTTTTAATATATTGCTAGAAAAATCAAATTATTGCAGGATGTATAATTTTTTATGACCCCCTGTACTAACAAGAGGCATCACTTCTTAACATTTCTGGCTTTCGGCAAGTTCGTAAATTTATTTGTCAGATAGAGCATATTTGTTTTAGGATCGGGCTCTGAGGAGAACGCCGAGGACAGAGCAAACATATTAATCAACGTCGCCATCGGAGTGAAAATGCACTCCCGCCCTTCACCACTCAGTCTTGAGAATGCTTTCGCTGGCGATTGAGCGATCCCTTCGTGGGGTTTGCATCTTTGGTGCCGTGTTGGGGATCCTTCCGGTCTCGTGGTCCGAGGGTTCCCCGCAATTCCGATATCTCAGCGTCCACTTTCTCTGGTGCGCCCTCACGGTGCTCCCACAAGCAGCTGCATCTGTCTTCGGGTTCATCGCGCTTGTGCGTGAAACATTCCGCATCGATGACAATTTCCTCGGGGATAAAATCGGCACCATCATATATCAGATATTCGGACTTGGCACGCTCGTTGTAAGGACTCTCTTCATCTTCCGAACTTCCTCTCGACTTCCATCTTTGATCACCCAATTGACAAGCATCGCCCGTGATGCCAACTGCATGAATGATGCTGTAGACCAATTTGAGAGGCACGTGAAAAATTTTACCCGAATTAATGCTTTCGTCCTCATCGTAAACACAGTTGCAGGGACGAGTTTATGGTTGAAAAGCAGCATGGAACTAATCAAAAT